AGGTGAACAACTGACCAAACAATTGGAACGTATCTTTACTCAAACGATACTACTACCAAGGTATGACCTTATCCTTTTGTCCATTTGAGATTAAAACTAACTCAGTGCAGGTTTTAGATCGAAGCTATCAAAGACACCTTTTCACACGAAGCCTTAGGTTTTAAAGCATGCGTTGCACTCTTTTCCTTTAGACCGGATTTTGTCCCAAATGGGTTTTACAGGCAAAGTTTTTAACGAGGCAACAACTATATGCTTCCTAAGGAAAACATAAACAGTATCCAAGGCATTTTTTCAATCAACCTCGAATACTGGGGGGCATCACCCTCGGAGATCATATTTTTAAGGAAAATACTTCACGCCCAAGAGGGCGTCGATAGGAAAACTTTGTAATGGGCCAAACGGTCTGATGAACCATGTCTATATAGAATTACTTCCAAGAAACAATTTAGTAAGGTCTCTTTTTGCAGAAAGAGATGCAGATGCTGAAAACGGAATGCGGCTATGAAACAGAGCCATGTTTTTTACAGTTTGCCAGATGAAAGGAGGGAGCTTCTGTTATCCAATTTAATTTAATGAACTGAAACTGAATAAACTAAGCGCTTGGGGTGTGGACTGTGGAGTAATAAATATGGGGAAGGAGATTGAGTTCGTGTGGCGTGTGCAGACTGTTCGGTGAAAGGTAAGTCGGTAACAGAAGGAATATCTTGGTATTTTAATTTACAGTTAAATTTAGGAGGGCCCAGATTCTTAAATTAGGGTTTCTGACCTATCTAAATAACTAATTTATTTTAACTTATTAATAAGTGAAAGTTCTACTCTTATGTTTCGTCGTCCAAGGGCAAAATGGTAACTAACATCCTGATTAGCTTTCCACGTGTTAGTAGTAGACAGACCCACTGTGAAACTTTGGCTTCTTCTTGGAAGTAACTTTGGGTCATCTTCTTTTCATTTCTCACTTTCTCTGTCCTCTTCCACTTCCGGCTTCTCTTTTCTGGTGATTTTCTTCTTTTCTCTACTGTTATTTTTTCTCATTTTGTTTTGCAATCTGTACGTTTCTCTGCTTAATCTTTCTGCTTTTCTTCTTTTTATTTTCTCTTCCTTTTCGCTTAGTTTTCAAAGAAATCCCAAATATGTTATTTATTTGTTTCTCCTATTTTCGGCCTTAGCTTTTGAGTTCGTGTCAAAGTTTTCCTTCTTGATTCCAGTTTGTCCGGTGTCTTCTATGATTTTTTATTTCTAGTGATTTTTATTCCGATTTTTTCTTTCTCAATTTGGTTGAGTATCTAAAGGTTTGTGCATGCATATCAAATTGTCAATTATTGCTATGTTTTTGGAGGATGAATAGGTTTTGAAATGCCTATTAAGGATGAAATTGGTAGACATGGATAAGATCATTCTCTGCTTCATAGAGGAGGGGGTTCCCAGCTAACAAGGAAGCGGGAAGAAAAATGCAAAATCTATTTAGCAAATAAAGAAACCAGAAGACTTACATCGTCGGGTACCCTCTGTTCTCTTTGACCTATGGTTCCTTCCTACGGTTCTGGCACAATTTCCTCAAGGTTGTCAAAATATAAATAATTAAGTACATCGAAAAGTCAAGGGGAGTCAACGTGTAGTAAATATACACAAACTAAAAAAAATTATCTAACAAAACAGTATAATTTTCCGGTGAAGGGGTGTCGCTTGACACCCCTGGCTTCAATGTGGCTCCGCCACTGCTTGTGGTACATTGCAGAATTGTTAAAGCAACAAAATATTTGTTCAAGGATGCTAGCAGAAATGCTCCTTGAAAATGAACCCTGAAGATCAATTCTATTCTTTTCAGGTGGTTTTGTTAGAACTACATGTATGTATGTCATATTATCTTTGTCCATGTTGATGTACTTATTTGTTCATAAAATTTAGGTTGTCTGTCCTTGATGTTTTATTATGCACTTAATATTAGGAGTGACTTAATGCTGAAGTGGTCGCGCAACCCAAACATCGTGTTAAGTATTGGAAACAAGCTACAGACTTTCGCTTAATTCTCAAGTTTACATATCGCAATGTGTCTCTTCTTAGCTGCTCCGTGCATTCTGAACATTAATGGTAACTCATGTTCTCTCCTAAATGAGCTAAAACAACAGAAATCGGCAGAATCACTTCTTTGGTGATTGGATCTATGAAGATATATGGATAAATAAGCTGTAGAGCAACTGAAAACATATAATACTAATGATTCTACAAATGAGATTCAAGTGTGTAAGAGAAACAAAGGACCAACCTAAACTTTCTAAATGGTCCAAGAAGATCAAGTTTATACGATGTCCCATCTCTTCAAGATACATAATGTTGGAATATGATTTGGGTGGTAAAAACTGATTTGAGATTAATCTATATCAGGTGGGATCTGCAGGGGCTTTGGATGCCGTTAAAATGTTTCATTATAAGCTATTCTAGATCTTAAATCTCTTTCTATTATAGTTTTCTTAATTATGCCGAGATTTCATGATATTTTGATACAAGAATATGTGCTTGATATATATGTTTAGGCATTTATGCTCATATGACAACCCTTTGGCCTGTTCATGGAAGTACATATATAGATCTTAGACTCAAGTCAATTCTTGAATATTTAAGATCTTTATGTACCATACAATAGACAAGAGGGGTTGCTGTGATGGTAAGCAACCTCCACTTCCAACCAAGAGTTTGTGAGTTCGAGTCTCCCCAAGAGCAAGGTGGGAATTTCTTGGAGGGAAGGATGCCGGGGGTCTATTTGGAAACAGCCTCTCTACCCCAGGGTAGGGGTAAGGTCTGCGTACACACTACCCTCCCCAGACCCCACTAAGTGGGATTATACTGGGTTGTTGTTGTTGTTGTTGTTGTTCATGTACCATACAATCTGTGTAATAGGTACATGAAAGCAATAGAGTAGTAGAGTGTTTTTACGTCCTCTTTTGCATATGTTGTACTAGCCTACTATTTATACGATTGTCTTTTTTCATTTCTATGGAAGGAGCACTATTCTATTGGCATTGGAATACTTGGACAAAAACGAAAAATCACAATACATAATACGCTGGGCCCGTGCATAGCACGGGCAACCCTATCTAGTAACTGTATAATAAACAAAGGTTTGTGTGTACGATGAAAGGTTTTATCGTAAATGTAATCCACTTTAGGGGTAAATTGGTATTCCCTCTTAGTTCATTATCGCAAAACACGTGTACTTTGTGTTTTATGTTTGAAGTTACCACGGAACTAACCCTTGTTCTTCTCACTGTTCATATCTACCAGCAAGCTCTATATTCTTATCTTTCTCCCACTCCTCAAAATTTCTTTTTGTATCATCCATTTACGGTTTCTAATTTTCTAGCTTTTATTTCATTCGTTACTTCTGGTAAGTTTCCCCCCGTTTTCCTTTCTTGCAGTGATTTCTGACCATCACTTCGGAAGTCCTTTGAAATATTGTTTCTTCAATTTTAGTTTTAATTTCTAGCTAGATCTTTTACATACATGTCAGTAACTCTATCTGATCTGCACATGCATGTTTGAGATTGTACCTGGTGCATATAATTTTATATTATTTTGGCTTAATCATCATTGATATATGTTCGTCTTTTGGCACTAATTACTAACTGTAAATCGAAATGTCGATGCAAAAATCTATTGTATTTTGCTTTTTGTTGGAAGATCGGGTCTGTGCTACAGTAACAAAAATTTAATTGGTGATAATATCGGTTTATTTGTAAATGTACTTTCATTGTGTTCTATATGTGTAAATCTTAATATATTTTATAGTTGGTAATATTTTCCATCTCAATTTTTTTTTATTTTTTTACTCTTCTTTTACTTTATTCTTTCGGTTATTTTTCAATTTTTACTCAAGATGGTGAGATTTTAAACTCTGAAAACTAATGAACTCAAGGTGTTCAGCGATATGCCTGAAACGACACAAAACTATTTGGTAAGAATTTCTTTTGATCTCCTTTATATTATCGAGTAAAATAGGACTAACTTCAACTATGCAAAATTTTATATTTCTTTGAATTGGGGAAATTTTTCATATAAGTTATACAAATATAGAAGGCTAAAAGGCAATAGTAGCTTTTTGCATTTTACTTGTTATTTCAGTTAGATGTGTCGCTATTGGTAATTGGCCATGGTAGTAAAGTTGAGATGGTCAAAAAGCTATCACTGATGATTCTTTTTTCGTCTACCTAATTTTTTATTGGCCAGGTATAGGTGTACAAGTAGTAATGTGAAAATAAATTCTACTATTCAAAAGACTTCTCTATGCAAGTAAGGTTACAGAAAGATAAAACTAAATCGCTGAACTTCTAGCTTCAGGCGATGATGAATATTTTGAAGCTCTGGCAATGATGTTGATGTCGGTGAGAAACAGAATGAAAAAATGCCGGTGAAATATCAATATGTTGTATTTAAACCTTTCAATAGTGAGATCTTGGATGCAGTATTTACCATAATTCACAAGGTAAGAAATTTTTGTTGTATTTAAGATATGTACAATATTATTTTTTATTTTTCACTATCTATAGATATTTCATTCCTGTGTTTGCTACTGGTGGATTATGTTATTTTCTACTTATGCATGTCTACTTCTGAATATTTTGTGTCAATTTGGTAGCAAGAACTGGCACTAAAAGGAACTCAATGAAAATAAAGATAGGCTATATGAACGAAATCCTCAAAGGTCAGTAATGCATGCATTTATGTTCTGTCAATAATTTCGGTTGCCTTTATATTGCTTATTTTTTCAACATTGGTGGTAAAATAGCTCAAAAAATGCAAGGTACGAGACTGTGGTTCAATAATAAGGACCTGAGTGTTAACCTGAAATCTGGGAAATAATCAATATTCTTTTACCGCAATGAGACATTGTTGCTTCTTTCAAGGCATACCCCCATGTTGTGTTCTTATTTTCTAAGAAAGATTCAGTTAGTGTTGTCTGCAATGTTGTTGGCGCGGACTTAGATCAGTAGATCATGTTTTAAAAAGAATATGTATATGATGTTATTTAGATTGGTTTTTGGCTTTACAGGGTTGAAGCTTATGGAAAAAGAGCTTGAAACCTCAGTAGCTTTTGGCCGAGTTTGAAGCGATTCACCAAGATGAAAAAAAGTTCAACGATCATGCATTTGAAGAATTCCTGAAATTTACTTGGGTAACTTTGCTAAATGTCACAGTTATGAGGTTAGACTTTTTTGCCACACATTTTGATTGGTTAAGGTGTATTATTAGATNAGAAGCAGAGCTTGTTCGGATGGCCGCGCAGAAGCAAAGGATCGAAAGGTACTACAATAGAAGGACCAACCTTTGATATTTCAAAATCGGGGACTTAGTTCTATGAAAATTCACCCTCAATACTCGAGACCTAAATGAAGCTAAACTGGGCCCGAATTGGGAAGGACCGTACCGAGTCCTCGGAGTTGTTGGTAAATGATCTTACAAACTTAGCACGATGAAAGGTGAACAACTGCCAAACAATTGGAACGTATCTTTACTCAAACGATACTACTACCAAGGTATGACCTTATCCTTTTGTCCATTTGAGATTAAAACTAACTCAGTGCAGGTTTTAGATCGAAGCTATCAAAGACACCCTTTTCACACGAAGCCTTAGGTTTTAAAGCATGCGTTGCACTCTTTTTCCTTTAGACCGGATTTTGTCCCAAATGGGTTTTACAGGCAAAGTTTTTAACGAGGCAACAACTATATGCTTCCTAAGGAAAACATAAACAGTATCCAAGGCATTTTTTCAATCAACCTCGAATACTGGGGGGCATCACCCTCGGAGATCATATTTTTAAGTATTTACAATAGGGGATTAGAATATACAAACGGGGATGAATATATACAAAATTGTAACTTAGCTTTATATACAAACCAAAATAGAAAATAAAAAGTACTGAATGTAAAGTTATTTATGTACCAAATAGAAAATCAACCAAAAGGAATAAAAACTGAGTCAAATATGTACAGTCATCCAGATAGTCATCAAAAAAATCGGAAG